GGAGACAAATACGACCCCCCGTCGAGGAATTCCTCGACCGATATTCACCCTGCTCCAAAGGGATGCTCGTTGGAAGAGTTGCACCGTTGCAGTGCAGCGACGATGGCAGTCGGCTGGTATTTATGTAGGACGTTCCACTCCTTGGTCGACTAATGCTGACAGGATCGCGTTCGTTTCTACACTGTCAAAAGCCTTCTCGTAGTCGACGAAGGTAAGAACAAGAGGCATTTGGAATTCTCGGCACACTTCTATGACCATGGCGACTGACTGGATGTGGTCTAAGCAGCTGAATCCCTGACGAAATCCGGCTTGTACGGAACGCTCAGCAAGCTAATTGGGCGGTAATTGCGAAGATCATCACGGTCTCCTTTCTTATGGAGGATGATCATGCGTGAGTTCCTCCACTTGGTCTGGGATCCTTCTCCTTCTGAAGGTAGATTGTCAAGTGGTTAGCGAGAAGAGCATGAAGTTGGTGACCGCCTGCACGAAGCAAGTCGGTTGAGATTCTGTCGGGACCAGGAGTCGTGCCCCTTTCATGCCAGACTCCCCCTTCCAATGAATTTCAAAGATGAAGTCATGGCCGAGTCCGAAATTAACGAGACAAACACATCGATCGCCCAGCAAGCCAGAAGTAACTAAGATGGATTGTTGGTGATTATTCGTCGATTGTTTGCCAAAGCACAAAATGTGCAAAAACTCCGAATATATGGCTATGAGTTATCGCTTGAGGCAGTTAAATATGTAATAATTTTTTTCAATTCGAAGTTAATTGCAATGAATAACAGTTTGATGAGGTTTCCCTATTGAATCCTTCGGACTGCTTATAGACTAGCGATAAATGATGGAAGATTGCGGGATCCGATTATAGTGGAAGGTGGGTGACCTGAGCAATTGCATACCACCTCGCTGGTCTTTACACCCTTTTTTAGTGCGCGATTGAGGTGGCCGATCAGAAGGGAGCTCATCGTGATCGCATGACCATATGAGCCTTGCCCAAATGTTGTAGTTAGATTGTTTCCCAACTTTTTTGCTACCTAACGTGATGATTGAGGTAGCGTTCCGCTACGAGTATCAGTAAGTGTGCGAAATCATTCAGTCTGAGATTGTGGTGAAGTGCATGGCGCCCTCCGTGAGACTCGCTCAAAGATATAAGCTTTGTATGCTATTATAAACTAATAACTTATTATGATGACCAGATGAAGTGGAGCTCTGGCGGATACGTGTCGAAATACTTCTACGACGGCTTCATGGACCTGTGGAACGCCGGTATGAGAGACGATTTTATAGCTCTCAGAGCAAAGTATCCTAGGTACAATGTTTGGGTAAGTAAACGAAATCTAGTTTCAAGCACCATGATGAGATTAGGTGGTAAGAAGTAATCCCTCAGGGGAGTCTCCGAGCACTCTTTTGATTGAAGCGCATCAAATTATGACATTTTGAAATACATGTAAACGCTGCCATCATTCGAAACTAGTGAATTGTTGAGAAAATGAGCGAACATTTTTAAGGTGACGGGGCACTCTCTTGGAGCTGCACTGGCCTCACTGGCCGCCTCCTTCATCATTGCTAACGATCGAGTTCCATCCGGTCGCGTAAAATTGGTCACATTTGGACAACCTCGAGTTGGTGACCATCGCTACGCATGGGTTCATGACGAACAGGTGCTTTAGCTTGTACATTTTACAGTGGTACCGTACTTCACATCGTTTGAGTCACTTGCTAGTAGCTTTCGAGGAATCAGTTGATGGTCGCGGCGATAGCATCCGATGCTTGCCTAGCCTTCGCGGAGAACAGATGGAATTCTTATGAAACCATGAAATATGCTCTGCTTTCAGATGGCATACAGCTTCCGCGTAACGCACTGGAGAGACGTGGTGCCGCATATTCCGCCCGAAAACTTCTTGGACTACTATCATCACGCCTCAGAGGCTCGTTTGGCACTCAGTTCCAGGGGTTTCCGCGGCTGGCTAAGGAAAGACCGGCTAACCCCAGTATTTGGATCATATGTAAATATGGACCAAATTAAACTAAACAAATACTTGCATTCAGCAAGGAGGTGTCTTTCGTGATCAAACATGGTGACATAGAGGCGTCCCTACTACCATTCCTTCTCCGGTCGCGTAATTCCTTGTTCAATACCTCATATTATCCTGATTTCTACATGTACCCCTTACCAGGGAAGGCATTCAACTTCCCATGGAACTTTGAATGAGACCCAGATATATCGATAGAGCTTCAAACGCTGATTACAAATATCTGAAACTAAAACTGCAAAATGAACCTGCCGAGGAAGTTGTGAGCAGTCAAAGTTGGCTCCAAGTTAAGCGTTACGTATTAACCGTGCTAGCCTCCGAGCTTTCAGAGTCGCCGTGGAGTTGTTAAAGAGAACGGAAACTTGTGACTCCCGGGTGGGAGTGGAGGCACTATCGCCACTCCGCGGCGACATCGAGAGCCTGGAACATAGCCGGATATGCAACGCATATTACTTTAGCCATCTTTGGCTGCTCACAACTTCCTTGGCAGGTTCATTTTGCAGTTTTAGTTTCCATATTTCCAATCAGCGTTTGAAGCTCTATCGACATATCTGGGTCTCAATCTAAAAGTTCCATGGGAAGTTGAATGCCTTCCCTGGTTAGTCCCAATTCGCTCACTAACTGAAAAAGAGCAAGAGATGCGGCAAATAATAGCGACATTAGAAATAAACTGGCAAAATACCGGATACCTGTCCACGGTCACACGGCAACGCTGACCCATTCACACACAACCGAACCGCCATTCTTGCTACAAGTCAAGTGCAACCTTCCTAGCCTCATCTTGGGGCCGTATGCAACAAGCCCCGAAGGTTGGGGTTTCGGGGGGATATATCCCCGAAGTCGTATGCAACAAGCCCCGACGATCGTCGGGGACATATCCCCGAAGTCGTATGCAACAAGCCCCGACGATCGTCGGGGACATATCCCCGAAGTCGTATGCAACAAGCCCCGACGATCGTCGGGGACATATCCCCGAAGTCGTATGCAACAAGCCCCGACGATCGTCGGGGACATATCCCCGACGACCTTCGGGGCTTGTTGCATAGGGTCGTCGGGGAGGATTCGTCGGGGATGAATCCCCCTAGTCTCGACTAGGGGGATTCATCCCCGACGGCCTCCAAACGTACGTGTTACTTGAGCTAACTCAGTGGTCAGTCAGTTGGACTGTCGACGCGTAAGCGTTGCGGTCCAGCCGACCTCGGTGATGAAACTCCCATTTCCGCTTATCGTTGCTTTCGTTGTGTCGCACATTTATGATCGAGTTAACCTTTATTCGCTATTCTCAAGTAAGTTAACGTAGTATTGTAGTGGTTATCGATGCGTTTAGTTTTATATATTCACGGAACAAGTGTTACAGGTACACAATTCAGTTGGAACATGGCCACTTCAAATGAAGCGTCCGGAACTTTAAAGTTTCACTGCATTGAATAGTTGAATGAAGGCACATAGAGCTGCCCGGCAATTCTGGCTCCTGTGCGAAGGTTGGTATTCTTTTGTTATCTCTTTTCTGTAACCCTTCTAGTGACACCATCAAATCACAAATTTACACTAAAAACTGTTCTTGTTTCAATCAATTTACAATTTTAGGTAAGGTTTCCGCAAAATTTGTACTGTTGACAGTGGAAGCGCGTGATCAGCATACTTTTGAAGTAACGGTGGGAATACGCACATACTTTTTTCAGCTGCTGTACAAATGAATGTCAAAAGCGACAGCCAGAACCAATTAAAAAATTGAAAACAGTTGAGATATTCGGAAAAGGAGCACCAGTAGATGTTCTCGCTTTGCCTCATACGCAACCCCACTACCAAAACTCGACGATGCGATAAGAAACTTCAGGGAGATTTTTGCTGCTCCTCTTCCAAGGACTGGAAAAGGCGCACGCCCAACTCAGGAGTGCAATCTGTACAAATTTTGCGGAAACCTTACCTAAAAATTGTAAATTGATTGAAACAGTTTTTAGTGTAAATTTGTGATTTGATGGTGTCACTAGAAGGGTTACAGAAAAGAGATAACAAAAGAATACCAACCTTCGCACAGGAGCCAGAATTGCCGGGCAGCTCTATGTGCCTTCATTCAACTATTCAATGCAGTGAAACTTTAAAGTTCCGGACGCTTCATTTGAAGTGGCCATGTTCCAACTGAATTGTGTACCTGTAACACTTGTTCCGTGAATATATAAAACTAAACGCACGATACTTGAGAATAGCGAATAAAGGTTAACTCGATCATAAATGTGAGACATGGATCATAAATGTGCGACACAACGAAAGCAACGATAAGCGGAAATGGGAGTTTCATCACCGAGGTCGGCTGGACCGCAACGCTTACGCGTCGACAGTCCAACTGACTGACCACTGAGTTAGCTCAAGTAACACGTACGTTTGGAGGCCGTCGGGGATGAATCCCCCTAGTCGAGACTAGGGGGATTCATCCCCCGACGAATCCTCCCCGACGACCCTATGCAACAAGCCCCGAAGGTCGTCGGGGATATGTCCCCGACGATCGTCGGGGCTTGTTGCATACGACTTCGGGGATATGTCCCCGACGATCGTCGGGGCTTGTTGCATACGATCTG